AGAAGTGCTGAAGGGAGTTTTTATAGACGACCTGGAAGGAAGGGTTTATAGATGAGCTGAAGGAAGTTTTGATAGACGAGCGTAGACGAGCTGAAGCGCATATTTATAGTCTTTGTAGACGATTTGTAGTCTCTATGGAGGAGCTGAAGGTTGTCTTTATGAAGGAGTTTTATTGATAAACTCCAGGACGTCTTTGAATGAGAATTAAAGACCTGTTTGTAGACGGGTTAGAGAGAGAACTTATAGACGGTCAGGGAGATTATTTAAAGACGAGCTCGAGATGTCTTTATAGTGAGTTGGAGGGAGTCTTTATAGAAAATATGGAGGGAGTCTTTATAGAGGAGGGATATTTTGTAGAGTCATTCATCATGGAGTCTTTCGTAGACAATCTAAAGCTGACAGAAACCCTGAATATTTTCTGTGATCATCAGGGCAATTTCTTATGCTCACCTAAAATGATGCGGTATACCCCGTCGCACCAATTCACGAACACATGGATTTTTACGCTTCAAAGCACCATCCCAATCGTTTAGAATTGTGGCCCATGTTGTCCAAATATCCTCTTCGGCCACTGAATTGCCATCTGAAAGGTAAAAACACAATTAAAATTAATAACCAAATGTTAAATTGAAATTAAATTTCGAATTCGAAACTCACTCTGACTTGTAATACTTATTTGACTGGTATCGGAATTTTTGCGACTATGCGTTGAATGCAACGAATTCAATGACTTGGCATCACTTTCAATTAATTTATTGGCAGCTTCCAATTTTGCTAAGAGATCCATTTCAGAGGTGGGTAGATTTTCCTCAGCCACAACGGCAGCAGCAACATTTGGTGGACATTTGATGTCCATTTTTTTATTGTTTGTCGTTGACGTCGTATCGGTTAGTGGTAGCGAGGTGGGTTGATTTGTGGCGGCAGTTGTTGCTGATGCTGTTGTTAGGGTCATTGCCGGGATTTTCTTGCGGTCTGATCTGGTTGTTGTTAATTGTTTGAAGACCAAGTAGCAGTTGGTTGTTTGTAGAACCGGAGTAATTTTTAGATACTCCTAAGGAACCTTATTTAATGTGTGGTTGAAGTTATGGGGTTTTTCCAAATTTTTATAAATTTTGGAAAATTATATTGATTTTAACATGATCGATGTGCTACTAGGGTGCCATATGAGTTATGGTGCGGTTGTGGAATCTGAAAGAAAAGAAAGAATGATATATTAGATAAGGGAATATTGGAAAATTATTGGAAATTAGAATTCAAATTTTGATTTCATTAAGAATGAAGACGACGATAATATTGGCATATTTATTCGGAATATTATTTTTTCGATATTTTTTCTCAAAATCGCTCTAAAAAAATTGTAAACTGTTTTTATTTTCATTTCCCTTCCAATTTAAAAACAAATCATAATATTTTTTAATAAAAAAATTTTTTTGTTAATGACCCCGTTCCAATGGCATGTGGTGCTTGCCAGCCAATACTGAATGCCAGCGGCACCAAGCCAAATAGCCAGCAACAATAATAAAACAGTAGAGAGTTATTCAGTAAATTATTAAATAAAAATCCAAAAGAGTGACATATGGCCCAGCTGGCCCCAAAAAAACCATTCATGAATGAAGCTTTAAATGATTACAACTTTTTTGGAAACACCTTTCATTTTCAGTAAAAAAAAACAAAACGAAGAGTGGCAGACAAAACAATGAAAGCAATAATTTTTTTGTAACAATGACCACAAAACAATTTATAAACAAAACATAAAAGGGGAGTGCGGGGGAAAAATTCAATGGTTATTGTTTTGGCATCAAATTTATATCAGAAAAAAAAAAACAAAAAAAAAAATTCGGTAGCACATTTTATCCACCTACCATACCGAATAACCTTGGCCAACAAAATGTTTGTTAAGAGCCAAAAAATAACAACGCCACCATGAAAATCCAATATCCAATTAGCCGGCATAAAAAAAGCTGGCGGCTGTTACAATAAATAAAAGAAATCAATCAATCCGCCAGCCAAGCCAATTAAAATTAGAACTGATAATTTCTTTTTTATGGCCACAGAATATTTGAACAGTTAATATCCTTGACATATTTACGCAGGATACTAAATTTAATGTAGGTCAACAAATAAACACGCACAGTGATACCTTTGCGTAGATTATGGCCTATACTATAGGAAATGGGTAGAATGTGAAACCAGAGGTGTTTTATGAAACTCATTTTTAGAGAGATATTTTATAGTTTTGTATTAGATCTCGAGAAAAGTTCTATTCGGAGATCCATTGTGAAAAATTAGATGGGGAATAATTTTCCCAACATTGTCTTTAATAAAAAAAAAAAAACAGTAAGGAAAGTAGTAAAGTCGGACTGGGTCGACTATATGATAGGTTAGGTTTGTGGATGTGCAGTCACTTATGTGGCTGCAGCATTCTAAGACCGGTTAGGTCCGTTGTGATCATCCACGAGAAGAGAAGAGATAAGGACAGATCAGTAGGGGAGAGAAGATTGGGAAAATAAAGGGAGATGATAAGCTTACAGAAATATATAAAAAAGGTAAGATTGGAATGAAGATCGATGGCTCGATGGAATCTGAAAGAAGATGTGTTACGTGTCAAGATTGTACATTCCTAACCACTTTAGGTTTCTAATTATGCTGTAGATTAGAGCAGGTTCGGTTGTAGCGAAAAAGCTGAGACTCGGTACAAAATGAGCACCCACTAGTCTGTGCCGCCTGTAAGCCAGTGCTGGGCAGTGACACATGAGATGCTCAATTGTCTCCGTCTCCTCCTCGTCAATGCAGAGTCTATAGTAATCAATTGCATCAAGATCCCATTTACTAGTAAAATCCCTGATATTACAGTGACCAGTAATGATTCCTGTCATCACTCTAATTTCAGCTTTGCTCAACAGGTTCAACAGTGAGTGCGTTCTTTTGGTAGACAGAGTCGGCCAAATGGATCTTGACACGTTGCACCTAGAATCGTTGTGCCAAAGTTCGTAGGCTCTTTCGTCGAAGTCGTTATGATACCCTTCATCAATTTGGGTATATTGTACATAGTTATCCTAATAATTTCATGTCATTGATCCCTCGAAGGAACATAGTCATGTCTTTCTGCAACATATGCTAAAATTAATTTCATTCAGGCAGATTTAGAGTCCTTTGCGTGCAATGGGACAAATTAACGGAAATTGATTTATAGTCCACTTGATAATCTCATTCGGACATCCCTTCAGCCATCGCAATAACGCCATTCTAATCTCAATTTTATAAGTGGTGCAAAATTTCGTGTCAATAGGACAAACATTAGGAGATTGGTGCACCATTTACCTAAAATCGGACTAAATCTGAACCGATTTTCATGAAATTTAACACACATCGTTCTAGACTTGATTCAGTACACTATGCCAAATTTCGTGCAAATAGATGGATATATAGGAACTTTGGTGCATCATTTACCTAAAATCGGACGAAAATATATATGGGAACTATATCTAAATATGAACCGATTTTCACGAAATTTAACACACATCGTTCTAGAATTAATTCAGTACGCTTATGCAAATTTCGTGTAAATCGAGGGATATTAGGGGCCTTTAGTGCATCAATTGATTAAAATCGGACGAAAATATATATGGGAGATATATCGAAATCTGAACCGTTTTTCCCGAAACTTACCAATCATCTTTATAGACTCATTTCAGTACGCTATGCCAAATTTCGTGCAAATCGAGGGATATTAAGGGACTTTAGTGCATTATTTACCTAAAATCGGACGAAAATATATATGGGAGATATATCGAAATCTGAACCGATTTTCCCGAAACTTACCAATCATCTTTCTAGACTGAATTCAGTACGCTATGCCAAATTTCGTCCAAATCAAAGGTTAAAAAGGGATTTTGGTGCAACATTTACCTTAAATCGGACGAAAATATATATGAGAGCTATATCTAAATCTGAACTGATTTTCACGAAATTTAACACACATCGTTCTAGACTTAATTCAGTACGCTATGCCAAATTTCGTGCAAATCGAAGGATATAAAGGGACTTTGGTGCACTATTTACCTAAAATCGGACAAAAATATATATGGGAGCTATATCTAAATCTGAACCGATTTTCACGAAATTTAACACACATCTTTCTAGACGTAATTCAGGACGCTATTGCAAATTTCGTGCAAATCGAATCATATATGGGTACTTTGGTGCACTATTTACCTAAAATCGGACGAAAATATATGGGAGCTATATATAAATCTGAACCGATTTTCAAGAAATTTAACACACATCGTTCTAGACTTAATTCAGTACGCTATGCCAAATTTCGTACAAATCGAAATATATATAGGTACTTTGGTGCACCATTTTCATTAAATTGGACAAAAATATATATATATATATATATATATGGGAGCTATATCTAAATCTGAACCGATTTTTTCCAGTTTCAAAAGGGTTCGTCCTTGGGTCAAATAAATGAGTCATGCCAAATTTCATCCAATTCGATTGAAAAATGTGACCTGTACTTTGTTTAAAATTTAACATGGACAGACGGATATGCATAAATCGACTCAGAAAGTGATTCGTTTCCTTTTGCATGTTACAAACATATACACAAAGACATAATACCATGTACCACAGTATGGTGAAGGGTATAAAAAACGCCTATTTCTGGGTGCTTGAAAAATATTTTAAACCAGTGAGTGGAGCAGTATAGTCGGACGGGGCCGACCACATGATACCCTACACAACTTCCACGAAAGTCCAACATTCGCGATATTTGCACCCACTTGGCCGACTAGAGGTCAACAAATATTACTAATATTCAGTACAGCCCTTCTTATTACGTGCCCAGACTCCCTTCACCCTTTGTCGACTCGAAATTACACAAACAATTATATTTTCGTCCACTTCATCTGATCATCACCGAAAATTATAGGTGTTGTCCTGGACCATAACTGGATCCTCATGGGAAATTTCAAAGCGATCAGCTCTATATTTCCGCCCTCTAGTGTGGTAATGGGTTACTAAATAATATATGAATACGTAACCACCTGTAAATATTTAAGTGGAACTCCCACATACGACAATATAATACGACAATATAATTGGTATCAATTTAAAGGCCAACCACTCCTCTTGGACATACTATCAACTTCTCAGGTCTATGTCCTTCAAGGGTAAATATATACGCTATAGAATACAAATCTTGTCATTTTTCACACAAAAGTCAGGGTCCATTTGACCCGCTAAATATTGAATAATCCTTATCAAAACATGTATGCTTATTCTTTGGCCCGATCCCCTTCACCATGTAAAATTTCGCGATGTTCGGGCCATAATTGCGGCCCCTGGAGCGACCAGAAAAACGGACAAAAAATAAGTTTTCTTTACCAAAAATAATAGGGGTTTCATTGGCCAGAACCCATCCTACATGCAAAATTTCGTGAAGATTGGTCCATAAATGTGGCCTGTATCGTGTTTACAAATTATAATGGACAGACGGGAGGGCAGACGGACGGACACACATGTCTAGATCGACTCAGCTAGTCGAGATATGACGATCGGTATACTTAAAGGTGGATCTAGGACCAAAATTTCGGGGCGTTGCAAACTCTTGGGGCTGCACAAAGCTATAATACCCTGACAACATAGTTGTGTAGGGTATTAAAAATCAAGGTGTAACCAAAGGAGTGAATTTTTTAAAATTAATTTTAAAAGGTGTAACCAATCTTGTGGATATTTTAAATCCGATTTTTAAAAAAAAATCTATGCTTATTGTTGTTGCTTTATATATATTTTGTCTTACACAAATTCACGCATTTCTCTTATAAAAATTATTGTTGTTTAATAAATATTGGTTCTGCATTGTTGGACCCACTGTCCCTCCTATCACTTGGTTCCGCATATTAAACAATTTTTTACCGATGTTGCTGTTGTTGTTACTGATGATGA